ATAGATAGATGGATAGATGGATGGATGGATGGATGGTTGGATAGATACTTTATTAATCCCGCAAGGGGAATTTTGTTCGCTACAGCAGCATTATGATACAGGTAAGCAATCAAAGTAAAAGAGTATGAAAATGCACGATATAATGAAATAGAATAACATTAAATGAACTAACTAAACAGTAGTACAAAGTTAACGTTTGCATCACTAATTATAATGTCGTGATGTAAATGTATATTTACACATGACCTTTCTCTGAGCATTGTATTTAGGCAACATATGTGAGTACTTCTTCCATCACTGGCGGTGTTGTAAAACACGAACAGGTTGGTCTCAACACTGACTACTTTGGTCCACGCGGTGGCGCTGCTGTCCCATTTAGTCTTCAGCAACAGAAAAAAAGCGACCCAACCAAAAACTCCATCCAACCACCTCAACAGGAACTGACGTCTCTTCGGTGCAAGTGGATGGAAAAAAAAATGCAGCTGCAGGAAAAATGGCTCCAAACACCGCACCGCTAAAAGGTAAGAAAGGAACCCTTTCAACAGTGAATGTCTGCGCGTTGAAGTTGTACTTCGCGGTGGCCTGAGATCCACGGTTGCAGCTCCGTCGTATCCCGGGTCCGTTTCCAGCACGACTAAAGCTGCGGTTCTTCCTTGTTGTCGGCAGGACCACAAGCAGTTCTCTGGGTACTTTTAAATAATTTAAAATCACTGCCCTGCAAAGTGCGGAACACTCGTGTAACTTCTCGCCGTGGTGCCGTGTTTTCAGTTCAGGTTTCTCTCTCAACCTTCTGTTTACCTGTTTTCTTTTTGCGTAACGTTCTGTTAGCGGCTAACTTTAGCATCCAACAAAGTTAGAAGTTTCCAAAGCCGCGTTGTAGACCGATATGTTAGTCCGCCGCTGTGTGTTTTACCGCCGGTACACTGTGTTTTTATATTCTGTAGCGTTAGCTGTGAACAGGCGGAGTCACAACAACACTTCAGTCGGTTGCGTCTCCAGTGAATGTCTTCTAAAATGTGATTATTATACAATACCTCAGTGCTAACCATCCACACTGGGGATCAGAGGAAAGGGTTTCCTCCCCAAAGTCAGTAGAGGGACAATTTAGATTTTTAGCTAATTAACATACAGGAATGAACACACACACACACATTCATGGGACTGCTTGTGCGCAGTGATTGTATGTTTCTCTGCCTATAACAACCACCAAATGTGCAATTCTGTGTTCCATTAGAGCTCCTACAGTTTCAAAGATAAGGTTAGTTTTAATGCATTGTGTAAATACTGTAGTTGTCAGACTAAACCCTCGCTGAGGGCCAAGTTGAACATGATGTGGGACTTCACCCCCCCAGTGGTCCTGTCTGTTTTTGTTTTCTTTTTATAGACTTAATGTTCTGCACAGGCGAACATCAGCAATAGATAAGCCGGTGCAGGAAAAGAAGATTGAGTGCACTGTTAACTTTTCCCACAGAACACATCTATAAACTTGACCTGGTTACTTATTTTCCTTTTTTTAAAGATGTTGTGCTGTACTTTGATCGGCGGTACAGAGAAATGCTAACATCTGCACTTTTGCACAGCTACTGGAAGGAAAAACTCTGTCTCATTAGGGTCAAGATAGGTTCACGAGTCGGCCTTAACACATGAACACTGAGCAGGTTTTGATTGCTGTATCCGTATCATCCCTGTTGACATGAAGAGATCCTCTCCTGATGTACTTTCAGTGGAGAAGATATGGAAGAAACCCTCTGTCCTCGCTCTGTGCACAAATGTATCTGAAGCAGTCTGAGTGAGTCAAACAAGTGGGCATCTTCTAAAGTTAGTCTTTTTAGTACAAACCAACTCCTTTCTTCTACCTGCCTCTGTAGTCTGTCAAGTAAGAGAGGAAATACGAGCTTCCTCCTCCTGCTAACAGGTACTTTATGTGAAATATTAATACGGAATAATTATGAGGACGAACAGCCACAAATCTTTAATTCAGCTTCATTGAAAATCTGGAACAAGCTGATATAGAATACATATGTGAGGCTGGCACAATAAGATGATTTTACAATATTAAAGCTACCTAACGGGCAAATTAAACTGCATGTTAAGGGGTTAAAAACCCATGATGGTGGCTTTGTCAAACCATCAAGCAATTGATCTCCAGTCTCTCCAGTACAAACTGTTATTGTGACCTCCGCATCCTCACATCTTTTCACTCAGTAAAGCATCTTCACTGGAGGCTTACGGCTCTGCCATCCTCTGCCATGGTGCAGAGGGCAAAGTATTTGTCTTGGCTGCCGTTGGCTTTTCTCCACAAGTGGGGCTTTCCTTCTCTGTATGTCTCCTGATGCCTTATATGGACTTTAAGCATGTGACCATCTTGATTCAGGATGGTCTGTGTTTAGCTGTGGTTTTGGGTATTTTAGTGTAGCTTGAGTCCTATTGAATCTCCATTTGATAAAGCAGTATACAGCCCACTGTGCTCGTCTCAGTCTTCCTTCAGTTGGATACACTACTGTGTATTGCATTATCTGCCCAATCTGCAATTATCTACAGTAGGAAACAGTTTGTGAACTTTTATCACACTATGCGGTTTCTTAGATGACCCGGTGTTTACATACAGAACCAGGAAGTAGCTACTGTTTTATTGTCTGGCTGACACTCTGACCTTTTGGTTATAGAACAGTGACTTGTAACTACTAAGCTTCAATCTGCCATACAGGGCATTCTAACTGTATGCAGACTCAATGACACACAGATGGACTGCTTTGGTCGGAGCATGTGACATTTCTGCACAGAATGAAGGCGTCGGTGACGGCAGGCGCCACAAAGACGATGACCTTTTGATGCGTTTAGTGTCCCAAAGCTGTGCTCCTGGCAGAGTTGGCACCGAGCTCCCACAGTCAAATGCCTCATGAATGCAGCCACATTGTCACGGCCCGCTGGTGTTAGCACAGCTGATAAGACAATCTTGGGCCATGGTGCTAACATAATGCTAACAGAGTGAGAGAAAGCCAGGGGATGAGAGAGGGACCCGTTGGGCTGATTAGCATGCCAAATTCCTCAGCTGCACAATAGTGCTAGGCTAGCCCCGAGCCCCAGCACAGCCAGCCCTCTCCACCACAATGGGAGGGGAAGCTCAAGAGAGGCCGGTGACGCCTGGGGAGGGAAGGAACTCACTCAACCCTGGGGCTTTGATCGCTCAATGAATGGTGGCTTTGAGAAGGCGCCGTGTCGTTTCAGGACCACAAGACACTCTCGGCAGCGATGTTGTTCTCGTCTTGTAGACGTGGGATAATCTTGGCTCCCGCCTGTTGTAGGGCAACCGTAAATAGTTGGGATTATCAAGAGTTAGCCATTGTTGTTTTTTGAGTAAAAAGCAGTTTGATGACATCCCCTTGGGAGGGGAGATGAATGAGCTGTTACTTCCCGTCCTGAACAGAAGCACACAGATTTGTACATTACAAAGTGGCATGAGTCATATATGTCACCTCCTTGTTATAAATCCCTTTGCTGTTGTTTGATTAAGTCTTTCTTTTGGTATGTGGTCAGCCCAGCTGCTTGGTTAAACAATTGCTCAGTGCACCTTGCAATGTCACGATAAACATCAAAGAGGCTCACTGATGGGTGAGAGCTTGTTGTGAGCGAGCTGATCAGTTTACATGCCTTGAACATGCTGGTAATGTGACCTGAATGACGCCCGTGACTCCAAAAACCAGCGCGAGTAATTACCGGCTGTGCATACGTGACAAATGACAAATCAATAATCGACCGAGGCCGGGTTACAGCAGCAAACCCAAGAGAAACCTTCCATAAAGAACTGAAGTAAAGCTGACATGCGTTTCACACAATAAACAATATTTGATACACATTCTGTCTATGACCAGCTCATTAAGAAATGCTTATGACTGGCAATATTAGAATTTTTCTGGTCTGATTTTCGAGTATAGTCTCAAAATGTTTCTAAATTCTACACCAACTGCTTTGAATCTGTTTGACCACCTCTTGATGTCATTAATCAAATGTTTTTCCCTTTTTTTTTTTTTTAGGTGTTTAAAGATCTGCTACACAACCCTTTCAGCCACACTTACAAGCTGTCACACTCATGGCACCTTCCAGTTGACACAATGGCCCAGATATCAAGTGGTAATGGGTTCAAGGTGGTTGTCCCCCAGCCAAAGGGGGTTGTGGGTAAAGAGGAAGCCCTCCGCATGGAGGAAGAGGCTTTAGCAAAGTTGCAAAGGGATAAGAGACCCACTCTTTCAGCTTCGACATCCTCGTCTTCCTCTGCAGCCTCCTTATCCTCCTCCAAAGCATCTAAATCTACCACTACTGCTCCTCGGCCTTTACCCGCCACCAACAGACCCGAAAAGGACCTCATTGTCTTCCCAGAGACCAAGAAGCCGGCAGAGCAGGACAAGTTCAGGGATATCGATGTTGACAAGCTGACCAATGAGGAACTTGAAAAGCTCCTACTGGATGAAAACTTTGGGGTTAACAGCAAAGTGTCCCGCCCCTCGTCCCTGCTGGGGTTTAACCTCAGCGCCTCCTACCCTGGAGGCAACCTCGGTAGCTCCTCTCCCTTCCACAGTGGCCAGTGGACACCTGTTCTGTCCACCCCATTGAACTCCAGTGTGTCCACTCCCACCCACCAGCCTACCCCGCTTTTCCCCTCTGCTCCGTTCCCCAAACCAGGCACATTTCAGAATGGCTTCACTCCGACCATGTCGCCCTTCATGGCCCTGACGGCGACGCAGCCGTCCTTCATGGCCTTCACTCCCATCCAGCCCGCTGCTGCCATGGTCTTCCCGCAGCCGGCCGTGGACCCGGAGATGGTCAAACTGTTCGACAAGATTGCCAGCACCTCAGAATACTTGAAGAATGGCAAATCGGCCGGCACTGAGGTAGATTCCTCTCAAGCGGGCGCAGCTTCTCTTGCGCCCAACCCACCACCCCAGCAGCCAGCAGTGGTGGAATCCCCCAGCATCAGCCGCTTTGACTGGCTGGATCTGGACCCACTGACAAAGCACAAAGCTGAGAATGAGGAAGCATCTATGGCATCGGGGGGCGCTGCGCCGACAGTACCGGGAGTCGCGGGGGATCCCTGGGACGCAGTGCTCGAGACCGAAGGGAACAGCAGCAGCAGCACCAGCCCTCCGCCGGAGGTGAAGGCGTTGCTGACGGTTCGCTCACAGCACAGGAGAGCATCAACGGGAGCCTCCGTAACCAGGAGTCACTCGCTCAACATCCCGGGGACCTCCTCCCAGCACAAACCAAACAACCAGGTAGGACTGCAGTGAAATGGAAATCTTCTCTTACCTTTTTTAGATGTCAGGGACATTCTGCAGAGTTTTCTATCGGCCTTTTCACAGTACACCTTCTGACATGTCATAGCAGGAAACGTATTGACATGACAAAAAAACAGAAATCCTACTTCCTCAATCTGATTGCACCGTTGTCCTACACGAACACACAGCTTTCTGTCAAAGCTTTTGTAATTTAACACCGTAAATGTGTGTCTGTGCGGTTTTGTCTGTGGTTTTCTCACTGGTTTGAAGTGGGCAGGACTCAATTGGGAAAAGACAATGTGACATACTTCTGTGCACCGTATCAAGATTTAGCAACAATCCAAAATGTAATGACGGTTGTTGTCAGACTACTGCGAATCAAGTCTGATCAAACCACAAGCACACAGTTCTGATGAAGCCAATTAACTACGTTTTTGAGTGTTCAACTCCTAATGTGTAAGGTTTGTTTTTCCGAACTGTTTCTTTGGTCACGCATATTTGATATAGAGAAAAACTTCATATGTCATATGTAAGAGTTTTGTCATGCGTAACTTGGGTCCAGTGCCACCCTGAAAATCCATCTACTGAGTACAAATCTGTCTTTGTACACCATTGACAGCATTATGCATTGCAGAATAGATTACTGAACAAACCCACAGGACTCTTGCAACATGAGCGAGTGGGGAGTGAAGTTTAGTCAGAACAGACGATGGTGGATCTTCTCTTTCATCCGTAACACCCATCAAAGTCTTTCTTACAACTGCAAGTATTCTCCTCATCCATCCACCAGCACAAGCAGAACATCCTCTACACTTCCGCTCCCTGTAATTGAGTGTTTTCGCTGCGGTTAGCTTCCCACTGCTTCGCCCCACAATTTCCTCTCAACCGCATTTTGCGATTAATTTTGCCATGCAAGTGATCTGATTGCTTGTGATGAATATTTAGAGCATTCATTTGGGACAGTGCTGACAGGCAAGTGGCATGGGACGTTGTTGCCTCACTGCTCCCCCCCCCTTCAACCAAACAACCATCTGTCATTTGGCTGGCAGGTCTGTGTTGAGACGAGATGACCATCTTAGTCAGCAGTAAAACGCATACCGAGGCCAACCGGCCCAACATGAATGTGTCTTCCTCTTTATTCAGTATTTGACAGTCAGATTATCCGGACGTTGTAAATCTTCTGTCGGGAAATGAATGAGTAAAGATCTTGCGGTTGACCCTCCCTAAGTCCCTCCCCCTTTAGGTAATATTGCGAGTGTAACAAAAAGAAACATGGTGAAGCCGGCTGTGTTGGGATGGGTCAATGGGTAGAAATATGAATAGTCACACCTAGTGTAGTCATGCTTGAGGCATGCATGTCTCTCCCCATACAGAGTACAAGAAACAAACAATACCGGGTTATTAGGATAACTTCCTGCTCATTGTGTTTGTGTGTTACCATGACATTCAAAGCATGCATTTATGTTAGATTGTTGTGTGGCATTCCCACCATTTCAGAGTGTCTCAGGTTTCAATTAATTTCACTGTGAGTGAAATGGAAACTTCCTTGTTAAATGTTATTTTAGTATTGTGTGTATTATTGTTAAAGATGTTAAACCTGTGGTGCAGTAATACATGATCCTGTTAGACATCTATTAAGAGAGTGAGTTAGCAAAGAGCATTGTATTGTGTTCATGAGCTGTGAGAGAAAATCAAACCCAGAGGACATAAACAAAGCCTCACAGAATAATGTGAGTCCGACAGGTCAACACAAACTTTAAAAGCCAGGTGTTGTTACTTAGTGTCGATACTTTATTGCACTATTTTTATTGAACTTCCCATCGATTACCAGTATGGTACAGTGACGGTCGTAAACACCCACTTATGTTAGATACTAATAACTCTGCTGCTTCATAAAATGCATCATAAGCAAATCAGTTGTGCCTAGTTCACACTACACGACTTAAGCCCTGATTTTCCACCCACCAAGTGTGAACTGTTCAAAGACGCATGCAGACCGGCTCGCCGATGCATCGCAGAGACATCCCAGATATCCAGCAGGCTAAATATCTGGATATCTCTATTGGCTGAGCGACAGCCAATGAGAGTGCAAGACATGGGGTGATGGTCGCCTATAACAGTAGCAACTTTACCGTATGTGTTGCATGTGCAACTCAGACCAAAGTTGTTGCACTCATAGGAAACAGGCTCGTGTGGGAACCGATATTAAAGTATATAATGTACCACGGCTTGCTTGAACAAAAGAATCCTGTCCAGCCCATGGCATTACATCATTTCCTGTGTCACTTCTTGTGTGTTTTGGTGCCAAAACATAGTTTGGAGACCAGACATACTCATCAGGGTTTCCCGCTGGTAATGGATCATGTAGTGTGTGAGTCTGTTGTTGGGGAAAATACTAATTTTTATAGTCCCTCCAAACCATTATTTCCAAGATGAGTGTTCGGATGGCAGTAAGCCGGCCTGAAGCTGAGAAGCCTTGCTTTAGTTGGCCAGACTGCCGTGTAAGATGTGGTGGCGTGGGCAGAAGGGGCAACATGGAAGGAATGAGGTTGAACTTATTTTCCCCCCTTTCATTCTCTTTCTGTGTTGACGATCTCTTCCTTCGTCTCTCGATTAGTTTCTTCACCTCTGTCACTCTACTGGTGTGTGTCTGCTCTTCTTCTGCCCTCCGTGTCTCCCTCCTTCCATTCACCGTGGTGCCCGGCGGCTACTGATCCCTTGCTTTGGCCTTGTGGGTATGAAGCTGTCGGTTCGTGATAATCAGCAGTCAAACAAATGGCTCTATCTGCGGTCACGCCTCACAGCACCAGCGCCTGTTCACACTGTTTGCAAAGCACTACTGGAAATTAATGCGTCATTTACCGCATGTTGCCATGTCTGGCTTCATAATGCTTATCTTCACAATTGTTTCAAGGAGTTCTGCTTGATTCAGTTGGGTTTTTCGGGGGGGTGGGGGGGTTCGTGCAGTAGGTCTTCAAATCCAGAGAAGAAATGTTAAGGACGAATGGACTGAATACAACCACACAGTATATACGTATGCAAAGAGGTTGGAGGTGTAGAATGCACATTTGTTTGTTGGACTGACCGACTATTCATCCGTTTGATTTAGCAGGACCAGTTTTTCAGTAACCCTATACTGATGCGTGTTGTGAATGTGGTTAATGGAGATAACGATTACGTAACGAGCCGGATTAAACACTCGGCTGGACTCGTTTTTGAGTGGCCCTGTTAAAACACACCCTGAAGTACTTCGCTTGCTCTTTCATTGCAGACGGAGTCAGCGTGTCTGTGCCTGTTTGTTCTCGCACTGTTCCTTCCCAATGACCCCGCGGGCTGATTTTTGTCTGAACTAGCAAAAAATGTTTATCTGAACATCAGCTGTGATTCAAGATCTCGGTGTGCGTGTGTTAAACTGAATCATACAGTACGCCAGCATGCACTGTACATGTTTTTGCCAATTAGATCTCTCCTTCCTCTGCAGATTTATAGACCTCCAGCAGCTCTTTTACGTCTCTCACACCTCCATGCCATCCCACTCCGGACGCCGGCCTTTTTTCTTTTTATTACACCTTAAGCACGGGTATGAAAGCGCTGTTCCACCGGGCAGATTGCAGGTTTAAAAGATGTTGTAGTTCCTGGTCGTGGCATGGATCCCAGTCAACTGTGTCTCCTAACCTTTGACCTTGTTTACTGGCAGAAAACGGCAGATGCATTGTGGGAGATGGATTGTGGAAGCAGGTAGAAACCAGATACCAATGCACATAATAAAACACGTGTTTAAGGAATAAGTCGAACTCTGCAGAGATTTCGGAAATTTCCTCAAATCACAAAATAGTGAATCTATCAGATGCTCTTTGACGGTCAGCCTGCGATTTCAGTCTCTCACAGGAAGTGTGAGTGAGGGAGCCATCAGTCACTTCCTGATCGAAAGAAGAAGTGGATTGTTTTCAGAGCAGCTGGTTCCTCTGATGTAAACCACGGAGCTTCTCTCAGGCACCGATCGATGAAGCTGCATTCAGGCAGATGTGCCACAAAACTTTCAGCTGACAGTTATGAGTTGCGGAGTATCAACAAGCCGTTAAAATCAATCATCTCTTCAGTAAGTGCTGGATCAGCACAACGGCACCACTCAGTGTTTTCCCTCACAAAGTCGTGTCGTACAGTGAAGCCTGAGTTCACACTTCTGGGTCATTTACAGTTCGAGTGTCTGATACATGAATTTAGATTTAAAACAATTACACAAGCTGTTGATTTAAGCTACTGTTAAAACATTTATTTGTCAGAGAATGGAAGTTTGAGCACTGTCGAACTCAAATATTTAAGATAAGATAATCTTGTAATGTAATTTTCACAGTTAACTTATCATGACGTCGCTGCCCAGTGTCTCGATCTAAGAACTGGAAGGCTGGTCGGATATGTGCGATGGCTCGTGAACTTGTGAGTGCAGGTGTCCTCTGTGTGGGGTAGTTTTCATTAGGCGGGCACAGCGCGGTGAGGAGGTATCTCATGTCTGGATGTGTGGTGTAACTAGACACCGATGCCGGGCTTGGAATTACCACCAGCCATCAGTCACGGCTGCCTGTTTTCAGCCTTTCAGCTCTGCTACTGTAGTCAAGCTAACCGTGTTCTAACTCGTGTCTGTTAAACTTGACTACACACAACAGTTTATGCTCAGGCCTTTGAGAGATGGAAGGTAGAAGCTAGTTTTATGTGAAGATTGTGCCAAATCATCTAGAAGATTGATTAACAATAATAGTTTTTCATTGTTTGCTTATTGTAAATTAGTTCTACGACTAAAAGTTTCTGTTCCGTGTCCTTGAAGTCCAACATGAGTGTTGAATACATTTCGTTCCACTTGAAACATTATAGTTTACATGATTGGTGTACATGAAAAAGCTTGCAGGCTTCCTCACGGTTGCCTCTCCGCTGGGTTGTGGTGATGATTGTGTGCGCATGTGCGTGCACGTGTATCCTTGTTTGCATGCACCAGAACAAGCAAAACAGGAACCCACTCATAACATGGCACATGTCATCCTCCGTGGTACTAGTAGTTAAAAACACCTCGTCTGAAGGCTGAAGTGTTTCTACCTTTCCCTGCTGCTCTGAAGCACACTGACACCTTAGATCCTGTCTCTAGCCTCAGCTGAAGAGCACATTTCTAAAGTGTTCCAGATTTATGAAATGTAAATATCCATTAAAAAAAAAACATCATCAAAACATCATCATTCAATGTGTCTAATACGTTGTCCAACAGCTCTCCTCAGTCAACCCCGAGGTTAAGTTACCCAAGACAAACAGCAGGAATAGTTGTACCTCTTGGTCCTTCAGTAGAAGCAGGAGTCACATGTTTCATAATTGATTACGTCTCACTCAGGAGCACAAGGTGTCCAACGAACTGATGTAGGACAGAAACGCCTCTTTTACAGACTTGACTTATCATCCTCACTGTCTCTCTCCCTCCCTGTCTATGTCGCCTCACTCTGTTTATCGATTTCCCTGGTTTTGTTTTGTTTTCGTTGGTTGTTTTCGTTCAACTCCAGAGCGATGTGCGCAAATAGTCTCATTGAACCACTAACAGCATTGTCTGCAAACATATGGAAGGTTTGAGACAGAATGTTTTGTGCAGGCAGGATGCCAGTCTCCTCTGTGCCTCTTGCTGGGAGATGCAGGTGCTTTGGTGGTTCCAGGCTTGGCCTTCTTTCCAGGCTCCACATGCTGGCTTTGAGATGTCTATCTGCTGGTGTTATGTCAGGTCAGCACTTTGAACAGCGCTCCTGGGGCTGCACAGTTATGGTCGCCATGATATCTCGGATTAATCTGCTGGATGTTGGGATTTTGGTAATTTGAGTTGGCGCGCTTTTTCTTTTTTAATTTTAAGATGTATTTTGGGGGCATTTTGCCTTTTTGTTGACAGGAAAGGGTTCAACGAAGCGAACCGGGTTCATCGTAGTTCTATGTTTTTTAGAAATGTCAGACATTGCTGCTCTTCTTTCTTTTGTATAATCGTCAATCGAATAGTTTGGGTTTTGGATTGTTGGTCAGACAAATTGAAATGTCCGGGGCATTTAATACGCCGAATAATGAATACATTTGTCAGAATAATCAAAACTGAATGTTATTTTAAGCTGCAGCCCTAATTTTTTGGCTCCAACATAAATCCATATGATCTTTTCTCACTGCTTTTAAAGCTACACTTTCAGGAAAGGGCTTGGTAGTTTAATAATTCACAACATTAAATCATTGCACGCATGTCTGAACTGACTGAGGTGTGATTCCAGAACAGATTAATGTGAGGGCAGGAAAAGATCCACGAACTGTACTGGGTCCTTTATGCATCTGATGATCTCCAGTGAGAACATTTAAAACCCTCAAAATGTTTTGCAAGAGCAATTTCACACTCATTTCACTGTCACTGCACATGAAAAATAAGCTGTACCTTCCCCCGAGGTCATCAAAGAAATAAACTCTCGCTTCAGAATCTCCCAGAGGTCTTTTAAGAGGAGGTATAAACTATTGTTATTACTTTCCAAACATTCCCTTAACCCTCGCTCCCTTTTTCTTCCCTGAGTGATGTCAGAGGCACAGATTTGCGAGCCGTGACAGAGCACTTTTGCACACAGCCCACAGCCTGGTGCAGGAAGGGGCGGGGCTTTTCAATCCTCATTTCCTGTGCCACAGGAAGCGCATTCCTCAGCCGCTGACAGTAAGACGGCACGAAAAAAAAGAGTGTAACTGCAAGTTCCAGGAACCTCTGATAAATCCGAAGGGGTGTGTCTGTGTGTCTGTGTGTCTGTGTGTGTGTGTGTGTGTGTGTGTGTGTGTGTGTGTGTGAGAGAGTGATGGAAAGAGAGAGAGAGAGACGGCGTTCAGCTCAATTCTTGTTGAAATATTTATGAGTAGAAAATAGATTTGATAACAATGTTTTCTGTGTGTATTGCAGCACTTTTTCTGGAGTGTATATGTGTTGTTGTTTGTGCCAGAGAGACTGTCTAAATCAGAATTTACACTTGAGAATCTAAACCTCAATTAAATGTTGTTCACAGTTTAAGAGATGAAGGCATAACAGGGCTGGAGACCTCTCTGTGTGTTTCTTTGTGTCCAGCTTTTGCCCTCACTGACATGTTTATTGGCTCTGTAGGATTCATTGCTCTGAGATGTTTTTAATAACACTGCCCCTTGTTGTCCTGTCAGCCCTGTTAAACTGATGGAATGAGTTCATATGTGTTGCACTATAAACTGAGTGAAGCGTGTTACTCACATGTATTCTTCTTTGTGCACGTGTCTCCTTTAGGACAAGGGAAAAGGTTTGGTGAAGAACGCCGCTCTGGAAGAACAGGACGCTCAAAGCCTCGAGGTTATCGCCTTCTGTGAAGACGTAGCAGCGTAAGATCCTTCCTGTTGGTGGGAGAATAACGCACATAAAGCAGCTAATATAGCTAATCTAAAAATTTCATTTTTTCTTCTTGTTTGTATGCTTACGCATATTCCTGCATATATACACATAATTGCATGTTTTCGTTTCCTGGGCCGCCACAGAGCCTCTCTCTCTCTCTCTGCAGCAGTTAGTTTGGGTGGAGTGATGATGAAGCTGCGCTCAGGGAATCCACTTACATTGAGATAACGGAGTCAACGCCCGCCTGTTGGTCACTCCACATAGTCCACGACGAGTAACTTAACCGCTCATGAGAGTGTAGATGATGAAAAATGTCAAAACAGGCAGCTATTTCCACTAGAAATGGTACATTTCAGTTGATTTTACATGCAAATACCATTTTTATTCAGAAATCTTAGCCCCCCCCCTCCATCCTCTTATGATGCATCCAATATTCTCATCCAAGCAATCTGATGAGGCCGGCTGGTTACGGCTGCAAAAATACTGGGGAAAAATAAATGTTGACAATTCTGGTTGTTTTTTCCTCTGCTAGTCTGCGCTCCAAATTCCCTCATGGCGACATGTCCACCAACCCCGGCTTCGTCCTGAGCCCCGTCATTACGCAGAGAGACAGCGGAGGGGACAGCAGCTGCTCTGTCAAGGTTTCTATTGAAATCTCAGAATCTCAGCAGCCGGTAACCTTCACCTGTGACGGTAAGTGTCTCTCGCATGAAGCATCTGTGAACCAGTTCAACAGAGTAACAGAAGAGTATCTCACGCTGCCCTCGTCTTCTGTATTTTAGAGACGTTGGACTTTTTCTTCTTCTTTCTAGAATAGACGCACAGTTAATGGCAAGAATGGCCCAGTGTTAGGGAATGTATAAGCTCAATATACAGACCATCACATTGAAGTCAGCCAAAAAAAGGAAACCTTGTGCCCACTTTGCCTTTAAGAGTGAGCGGCTCAGATTGCAGATATGAGAGCTCTGAATGAGGAAATGACATCCACAGCTGCCAAACTCTTTACCCCCCCACCTCCTTTCTTCTTTTCTCTTTTTCTGTCATGGGAAGTACACCACGTTCCTTTTCCACACAAATGAAGGTTTGTCCCCTCACCATGAAGTAACCATGTTGGGACTTTTTTTTAGCGCCCCCCCCAGATCTTTGGTTTCCTTCCGTGGGTATTTGGGGAGCTGCCCTAACCTCTTGTTATACTCGCACAAACCGCTACAACCGCCGTGACTGACGTGACTTTTGGTGCCCGAAGCCGAGCACACTAGAGGCTGTCTGCCAGTCCACTGGGCCTTTTTGTTCAGCATGTTATCCCAACTGTGTGACCAAGTTCACCAGTGGCTGAGTGGCTCCCTGAGGATCAGCACTAAGTGTGTGTGTTGATGTAAGTTTATTGTTTGTATATATCTATATCTTGTGTTTTGAATGATGGCCAACCTATATATTTAAGCAGAGACGAGCTCTAAGCCCTCTGTAGTGTGTTTATGTAACGAACTGACCCCTTCAACACTCTGCATTGCTCGGTTCAACAGCAGCAACCTATAGGAAGTACATTTACTACTTTCCTCGTCCTAAATGTACTCTCCTAGCTTCCTGCGTTGACGCCTGGTTTACCTCGCCTTCCTGCCCCGGGGTCACTTCCTAGATGCGTTTCCTTCTTTCCTAGTACGATGCCTCGTTCGTTGACTTCTTATGTTGTCGGCAGTGTGTTGACCCACATTGTTGGTGTTTGCATTCCTCCGGTTGGACATTGCTGGAATTTTGTTCTCCGGAAACAAAAGGCCTCAGTTCTGCTCAAAGCTTGGATAGAAAGATGGGGAGCGATAGAGGACAGGAAAGCTGTTATCCTGCCCTCTTTCTGTTACATCTCTCCATTTCACTTTTGCTGTCCCACACTTCCTAGCTCCTGTGCCTCTCCTCCTTTCCCTCGCGTTACAATATTCTCCTCCACCCTTGTTTCCTTGCAGCATCTCCTGAAGTCTCTTGAACGTGTCATCACCTCAGAGACTAAAGAGATTTACTCAAGAATTAAGACATGTGTCACTCCCCTCTCTGTCTTTTCTTTCTTGCATTCTTTCCCTCACACTTCTGTTTTTATTTCAGACTTTTTTCTGCTCTGGAAATGGCTAAATTGTGCAAAGAGATTAGAATGAAACATCTGTCTTTACTGCCAAGTGGCAACCTCCAGTGCTGAGAAATCAAGCCAAGTGCCAAAAACTGCAATTCTTAAGATGGCCATTAAGAGGCTGGCTCCAAAAGGGAGTCCGTCCCCATAGACCTTCATGTTAGGTTGCCCATCTTCAGAGCAGAAATAAACATGTTTACAGCCTGGTGCAAAAAACGGTTTTGGTCTCGATAGTTCATTTCCCCGCTCGTGTCAACTTAACGGGGGTTGAAATTTAAGTTATGCATAATTAAGGGCATGGCAGCTTAGAGTGACGTCTTAGGTCGCTCGCCAACCGGGCCCACCTCAACTCCACCAACAGCCACCTCTTTGCCCATTTTTGGAGTCAGGCTGTCAAGAGCCTCATAACGACTCTTCAGAAACCAACGGGTGCCGTCACGGATCCTACGTCCATATTTCATACACTCTGTGGTTACTTCTGGTGTGATTCTGGTGTTGCGTCTTTGACTTTACCCTTTTTCTAGAGAGCAGGCAGAAGGAAAGACAAATCGATTCTTCCAGGGCTTTGCCGTGAACTGCTTGGATTCTGGGGATTCCTAACATACTGTGGCTGAAGAGGGGAGATGGAAGGAGAGGGAAAGAGGGAGAGCATTAAATAGAAATACAGAAGAGAGAGGGAAATGCAGAATGAAGTAAGAGTTGGAGCAGATAAAACTACTGAGGGAGGGAGTGAGGGGAAAGTGAATGTTCTAAAGGTGCAGAGAAAAATTCAAATGAGACAGATCAAGGAAATGTGATGAGGGAAGAGCGTCATGTTCCTCATGAACTTGAACTTCCCCGTCTGCATTAGTTTTAGCTCAGTGTAGCGATTCATTTAACATTACCACTTCACTCCGTAGTCCTTAGATGTGTTTGTTTGTGTCAATTTGACCATCAACATTTTTGGGTGTGCCCACATGTGACCCCGCCAACACCATTCCCCAACCATGTGTGAAATGGTGAACAGCGTCATGCAAAGGAGGAATTCTCTCCTCTTTATAAGTGATGCCTTCAAAAATAAGCCCTGCTGGGAATCCCCTCACCACCTCAGAGCGCTCACAAAACCAGGCGTAGCCCGTCTTGATTGCTTTGTTACAAAACACACATGTATAAGGCTGGCGAGCACCGCCGCGGCCACACAGGACCGTGAAGCTAAAGCTACTGGTCTCAGCGGTAGAAAGAGACGCGCCATTCCTCTGAAGGGTGGAGATCTGTTCTTTAGCCGGGGGTGGTCTCCCTCCCTGTGTGTCTATATGATTGTCTGTTTAGTAACCAGAGTGTGAAGTGTCTGCATCCGCCTGCCCGTGTTTGTGTATCGGCAAGGTTAAGAATGTGCTAAAACCCTCTTTGAAAGTAGCTAAACGGCAGGATAATCTCTCTCCACCCAGTCCTCCCTGAGCCAGACGCATCAGATATCCGAGCATACACAAACAACTAGAGCTGACCCCCTATCCCCCCGCCCCTCCCCTCCGTTTTCATATCGCTCCACAACACACAGCTGTAATTCCTTTGATTCGAGAACAGGTTTGATACCTGAGCCGGTCAAAACACGGCAGGAAGGTTTGACATTCCGATAAATGTGAGGTCTGGAGTTCAATTCCCACAGCAGCAAATGGGTGCCTGTGTTGAATAAGTCTCGTAAAGATTGTATGATATCGTTGTAATGACATAATTGGCACTTAACCTCTGATCCCTCTAATTAAAGTGTGTGGGATATGTTGTTTGGGATGCCCCAAATTCCTCCGTTCTTCCACTTGAACCACCACAAAGTGTTGATGCTCCTTGTATTGTGCTCCCACTTGTTTTTAGTCTCTTCTAATTGAGGTATAATCTTGTCTTTTTAAAAGCGTTTGACCTCATTCTCATTATGTATTCTCTCTTTTTGTTTTGCTCCCTTCCATCATTCCCTTTCCTTCCGTCTCTCATTTCTCTCTTTTCTCTCTTTTCACCAACCGCTGACCCCTCCCTTCTCTCTGGTTCCCTTTCCCCTCTGTCTTCTTCACCGTCCATCCCTCCGTCCTCTCCGCCTCCCTCAGTGAGCTCTCCGGTGGAGTTGTTGATCAGTCAGACTCTCTGCTGGGTCCACGATGACCTGGACCAGGTGGACTTCTCCAGCTACCTGCTCAAAGTCTGTGGTCAGGAGGAGGTGCTGCAGAAGTGAGTATACGCGGACAGAAACGTTGAAAAAGAAAACGTGCATCATCCCCCAAAGCATTAACGTTTTAGAAATCGGGAGAAAAATACTGACTTAGCAGTTTTGTTAATTATGCACAGGGTTATGAATACGTTAAGCCCTCAGCTCTTATCTTTCCACCCCGCTTATCTCGTCAGAGGTTCATGTTGCTCGTTTGTTTAACTGCTACTTTGAGGAAAAATGTCGTCCCCTGCACATACACACTGAGGGCCGATGTATGAAGTGTAAATCAGGATTATTACGGATATTTTGATGCATTCAACAATGACATCGTTGCTTCCCCTGTGATCATAATGAAGACGGCCTAAAGCTGTGCATCAACTGCCAAACCCCAAATGTAGGTCATGTAGTGAGAGTCCCCGGCCGCACCAGTGGTAACGTGTTGAAACAGTAAAGCCTTTTGTCTGCCAGCTTCTCTCCGACTGTGATCACAGGTTTCTGATTGGCTGCATTTAAAGCCAACTTTGCACAGAATAGACTACACAAAATATCTAAACTTGAGCAATCTTGGGCCGACGGTTTATCTCCAAAGAAATGGAGATATTCTTGGCAGGAAGAGTCTTTGACTGATCGGGGTTTGGTAGGTAAGCCCCACAGCTAATTCAGGACACATGTTATTATATCTGCATTATGCCATAAAGGGAACATTTGATTCTGGTTGGTTGGTGGGTGTGCGTTATATATAAAGCCAAGTGGCTCTTAACAAGTAGCTTCAACAAAAATAAATAAATAAATAAAACTGAAACAATGTAAATGGTGTGTTCCCCCAAATATAGACTAAATGGATATATTACATTTATGGGAAAGTTTCCGTGGTATAAGAGGGATAATCTACTCTGACTTCAGTTCTAGACATTGATTTCAATAACTGCTCGTTGTTATCCTCGACATACGGTGTGGTTTTGTTAACCCTGCGTCTCTGTTGCACTGTGCCACAGTAAACACAGCTTAGGCAGCCATGAGTACGTCCAGAACTGCAGGAAGTGGGAGAATGAGATCACGTTACAGCTGCTCTCTCACTCCACCATGAGAAGAGACTTGGCCCGCAGCGTAAGTCCCTTCATCCACCTCACATAATGAGCTCTTGTAAACTTTATAGAAGGATTTTGCTGAGCTGTGACATAATACATTTCATGTTGTGCCGCTAAGATTCATTTGCAGCTTTTGTCCCACTGCTGGAGAGCTACAACATCGTAATCCTCTTTGATTAAAACGATGATTTATCGCTGAGACTTCGGCTCCTGCTTACCCGTCATCTCGTACGCTCGATTGGTAAATCTGGACTTCTTTTGTTCAGGCGGAAGACGACAACTCTCTGGTAGATTTAGAGAAGCACCTGGGCCAAGTGGAGCGGCCGTTCAAGGAGAACGTCACCAGGTATGAGGGTCCTCCGCCTGTTGGGGAAAATGCTATTTCATTATCAATTTGTGTTGAGAAATTATGTTGTGAAGAAATATGATTGACTCTGTTAATTCCTTTAGTTGCATCTCGTCTGGTCTTCAGCAGGGTTTCCTGGTTTGAGTTAAATGTGTCGCTTTAGTTTAGTTTGCTGAATTTTTGCAGGATTAATTAATACCGAGACTTCTGGAAGTTGTCTTTGTAGTTACAGTTTAATCCGTCGTGCATTCTCTCTGTGTGTTGCCTTTAAATTCCATAAACAGTTTTTTTGTAATTTCTATTATATATATTATCTATATACTAAAAGATTTAAGAAGACCTAATGGCTATCTTGAGTTATTTTCAATTAACTTAAGTAAACTTTCTACATTCTGTCCTGATCTGATTCGCTCTAACAATGAGTGAAACTCAGTCCAAGTTCTGTCGTTTCTCATCCCTCACTTCTCTCTCTTTGTGTGTCGTCTTGCAGACAAGGCCTGGCTGATTATTTAGAAGGCTATCACAATCAAGTCAACATCTGCCTTCAAAATGAGGTACATGTCGTCCCTCTGTAGGTCTTCAAAGTCAAATATTTCCAGATTTCCAGGTCTTAAATCTGGAAAACATGAAATACTCCATTGTATTACTGCTGCCATTGTGCTGCGAACTCTTTACCTGTCCCTCAGTGGCTGTTTGTATACAGTTCAGCTAACGACAGCATTAACTTACATATGTAGACCAGTTCGTTATGTATCCACAGTATCTGCACCGGACTGTGTAGAAAGGTATTGATTTTTATAGTGGGATTGTGTGTATCTGCCCTGTATATTGAGACTCATTTAGCATCTACTATCAAATACTTCACACATGCATGTAAGTACACTACGACATTCCTGGAAGGCAGGCTTTCTAGAAACTGCACATCTGGTTTTCAGCCAGTGTGGGTTTCTGTGGAGTAATTGAATACAGACTGAACCGAAGCTAAACTAACTCCGCCCTCAACCCAACTTCAACCTGATAATGGCATCAAGATTTATTTGAGCGTGCGCAGTAATTGATGTACTTGTAGCATGCAAACGTGTGTTGTTGTGAGCCTTGTTTGTTCAAAGGTGCACGCACAGTAGGCTGGCTCCAGTTTGAAATACCGTGTGATGAATTGTTGGTGGTTGTCCTCTCACAGAAACCCTGACGTGTAGTTCTTGTGCTAAACAATGGGGTTTTACTGTTTTAAAGACAGGCACTTACAACACACGTGCTGTACCAACCTGCTCTCTGTCTCTGTTCAGAGCACCCAGTACAAGACCGTGGACCGGGTGGTGCAGACTTTGAAGAACCTATGCTGTGGTCTGGATGAGGTGGAGACCCGAGCCATTACAGAGGCTGTCAAAAGGCTGCGACACCTCGTCAATTTACCCAGGACACGCTCACCCAAGGTGGGCATGCCTCACACGTTCACACATGGCATTGTTTGGATGTCAGGATGTCGCTCTAAGACCAACATGTTTTGCTTTGTAGATGGGGTCCACATCGTCCGGTCAATCATCAAATGGTAAGTTCTGTACACAGTCACACTTGGCTTTCTCTCATTCCACTAAGCTTTGTTAGTTGCCCATCATGGACAGACTTATTAGGACGTTACTTTGATGTATCAGACACGTCTATAATTGTCTTAAGTTATTAAAAGCTTATTAAAACCTTTGTGGTTTATTCCGATACCAGTATACATCTTCTAAAAACTGTGTTTGCAGTCTCAACAACTACCATGCTATCTCTATGACCTCACCCTGATCCCTCACCTGACTCTCGACAGGTCACACCAGTCCTCTGGAGGAGGGCATGGCCGTACTGACGCAGGCCGTCTACGACCTGGCCAAGCTCTACCTGCGCTCCTTCTGCCCCCCCTCCGCCTCCTTCAGCTCTCCTCCGTTGCCCCATGCTGCGGACGGGGAAGGCGCAGAGGGGAGGAGCAGCAAAGAGGCTTCTGGCACCACAGACCACCTCCAGTTCACTCTGTTCGCATTGCACGGCATCCCGGCCAACTGGGTCAGCAGGTAAAGAGTCCGAGGACGAACCTGCTTCGTCTTTATTTTTTAGGGGCACTAGAAAACCCTGAAGTGACAGAGATAAATGTCTGAGATGAGACTCTCTAGCTGACGATGCTACTTGCACAACAATGTATCATTGTATAGTGACATCCGAGCACATGAAGCTGGATGTATTTTGCAGCAGAACATTTGATTTTAACACAAATCTTTCCAAGTCTTATGTGAAATTGTATGCGTTAGTAGTTGATGTACTCTTTCCTGTGCTGTGGGGTAATTAAAGCCTTTATTCATACCTTTGATCTCGCATAATCACCCACTCCTTCTGTATTATTAGAGCCACCCACATTTCATTTAATTGCGCTTCTGCAAGATAGGGTTGAAGATGAGGGCAGAGGAAGGCAGTGCAGAAGTCTAATTACCTTGTTTGCTGAGTGCATACAATTAGTGCAACAGCAGCTTAAATTTACAAGCAACCGGCAACATGATGGTCAAAAAGCGTGGTTGTGTCTCTGGATTAAGGTTGTATGATAACGGTTTATTTTTAAGCAGCAAGGACCAATGAGACCACATTACAGCGCCGTCATAGCACACAGTCTTGTTGTCTTCCACTAAACAAACGGCTCCGGTGTTGCTCCCCACGTCTTTGATTTTCCATGCCAGTGTCCAGTTTCACCCCGACTTTATCTCCTGCAAAGTGTCTGGCGAGCTGAGACACATTTTCCGTTCCCCAGCTCTGTCGCGTATCAGTGACCAGGATCAGTACATTTTTGACAAGCCCTTCCACAGTTGCATAGGTTTGTTGGGTCTAGAAACGTGTGAGAAATGACTGTGTTACTCTTGCTGTAGGGGGGGGGGGATAGAGTTGAAAGACTTTGAAATTGCACAGGAAGTCTGTGTGAGTAGAAAGACGTTTCAGTGTCTCTGTCATTTTACCTACTGTCATCACAAAGAATCCTCAACGATAGATTTGACCAAGTCTGCTCAAGAGTTACGGTTTGATGAAAGATTGATGGCAGTTGAAAGTATACAGGAACTCTGCCTGTAAGATGGAGGCAGTTTAAATACCTGCCACAGTCCCTTCCTTCCACGGTCATTTTCTGGTTGGCCAGCGAGGCCTTCATAGAGAGAGGAACTGCTTAATAACAGGCCTATTTGCTCCAGCACGGCCTCTTCCAGCAGCTATTTTAAGCCAGCACCAATCATTGCTGCAGTGACAGTCATTCCAAAGCCACCTCCAGAAATACTTAGCCCTTCAGAACCCCCAAGGCCAGAGGGACACGGCGAGTACAGTATTTTCCAGCCCAGACGAGTGGCTCGGCATATCTGTGGTGTTACTGTAAAGCTCCCTTCTTGGCGTTGTTGTGGCTCGCGTGTCATCCATCTGGAGCCTCGCTGCATGCCACGGCTTTGCCAGCATATTGAGGCACCGTGACTAGTGGTGGGGCTGCCAACACAGATGGCACCGAGCACTGGATCCAGCCTGTAGTAGTGGAAGTGAGTGTTTTGTGTTTTCACTCTCGTATGTATCTCTAATAAAAAAACGCTGAGGTTATTTTTGGATGTGTGGTTGAGCAACAACACTAAATGCCGCTGGATGTTTCCGATTTGTTTTATTGCATCACATATGGAAATATAAAACCCCAAATGTGCATGCGACATTCTCTTTAACTGTAATTATTTGAGTTTGTTTTTTTAAATCATGAAAGCATAAAGAGTTAATAATGATAATAAACAGCTGTTTTACCATAACGCGTCTACACTGCCATGGCCCACCCACACAGGAGTGTTCACTCCTGTGGCCTGATTACACCTCTTCTCAGGTCTGTGGGGGTTGATGCATCGAAACACAAGTGCAATTAATAACATTAATAATGGCTAATTGATATGACTTACTGGGACTTGTCAGTAGAACTGGGGCATCGTTATTATAATTAGTTCCACCCTGGGCTTTTTCTGATGAGTCCAAATGAATAGAAAAAGGTTTATTAGCACACGTAGTTATGTGATCCTCGGCATGGCTCCTCCCGACTTGGGGCAGTGGTGGAGAAGAAGACTTGTGACAGGAAGTCTGCTGGCTCAAACTTTGGACTAGCTGCAGAAATCTATGTGTGGAAATTGTCAAAGCAGCGCCTGCCCTTGCCCCTCATTAGCACCGCTGAGGTGTCCATGAGCGAGGCCATTAACCTGCAGGGACCAGTAGATCAGAACGTGGTTGTACTGGGCAGCTTCAGGTGCGAAGTTATGCACCTGTGTGACTGTAAAGGAGAGTTGTGATACTCTGTGGTCTTAAAGCACAGACATGGTCCACCCTCAGTGGTGTTTTTAGGTCTAATCAAAATGACTGAAAGGACCTGTGTGGGAGTCCAATCATACTAGTACTACTATCAGTGTTATCAGTGGTAGATGGTTCAACTCTCAAACTGATGGGTTCTAATGTTTTTTTGTCAAATCTATGTAAATATCTGACAGAGCCTCTGAACAGCCACATAGTGCTGTCTTAAAGGCACAGCAGCAATACTTATTGTGGTTTTTTTTCTGCAGTTATGAGAAGTACTTCCTGATGTGTTCCCTCACCCACAATGGCAAGAACCTGTTTAAACCGGTCCAGTCCAAGAGGGTGGGCACATACAAAAGCTTCTTCTACCACATCAAATGGGATGAACTGTGAGTGATTGCCTTGGCCCCTTTCCTCCCTCTCATTTCCTTTCCTCTCCTCTCCTCTTTGACATTTCCCTAATAACAACAACAAGCTGTTTGCACTGTCCTTTCCTCTTCTATCACTTCCTTTCCTTTATATCCCTCTCCACCTCCTCTCCTCTCCATGTTGCTAACACTGTCCCCGTCTCTCCCAGGATCAACTTTCCGATAGCAGTAGCTGTTCTCCCGCTGGAGTCCATACTGAGCCTGACTCTGTTCGGGGTGCTGAACCAGAATGCCAGCGGCTCCCCGGACTCCAACAAACAGAGGAAAGCTCCAGAGCTGCTGGGCAAAGTCTCTCTGCCGCTCTTTGACTTCAGACGGTGAGGAGAGAGGAACAGCCGCTCGTGGCTGGTCATGTTTTTTTTCATCTAATTTGACTGGATGTCCCACAAAATGAAATATCACTCGGTTGTGAAAGATGTATTTGAAAGAAGCAGTACCTGTGCACATTGTCAGCAGGATTAAAGTACGTGTTTTATACATTCTTGTCATTTGATGGATACAAAGTCATTGAAAGATCCTCAAAGTTAACATCCTTGCCTCAGTATTAGGAATGTTGTATATTAATCTGTTTCCCATTGTTGTTTATTGCTGACTGTGCTTTGCAGGGTGCTTGCCAAGGGCAGCAGGTTGTTGTGTCTGTGGACATCCGCCCAGGGAGCTGCTGCCGCCGCCGGCTCTACAGCCAGCCGCAAGAGGGTGCCCACAGAGAGAATAGTATTACAGGTATGTGATGGTGGAGGAGCACCTGTCACAGTCGCAGCATCAGTGTTTATCTGGGTTTTAGTAATATGAGTAGTCATGATTCATTAATAGCAGCAATTGTACTAGAATTCATTGTCAGAGTAGTGTTGTTAGACTTTGTGGTCGAACTTATAGTGATCTTACAATTGTATTAGTAATAGTAGACGGATAGTAGTAGTAGTAGTAGTACTACTAGTATTTGTGTAGTCTTTTGCCTTTCTATCTCTTTCTGCCCTTTATTGTGACAGCCGTGACAGCCATGGCAGCTGCAGTACTACGACTGCACTACCTTCATTTACGTGATCTCTAGAAATGATGCTCTGTGACTGCTACTGTTGTCAGTAGTACTACAACACCAGAAGTGTACTGTACATCTAATACTTATTGTACTAGTGGTAGTAGAGGTAGCAGTACTGGTGTGTTCTTAAATGAGTCTTCTTGAATTAAAGTTCTTTCAGAGGAATAAACTAACAACGTTTGGGTGTTTGTTTTGCCGTCAGGTGGACTTCCCCAACTCAGCGTTGGATGTTTTGTACGTGGGACCAAAGGAAGAACCCAGCCCGGAGCTCAACACGCTGGAGGAACTGGACCCTGATCTGCGACGCAAACTGGAGAAAATCTGCAGCCGTGCTTCCAATTTTGGGTGAGAGAATCTCCCCTGGGTTATTATAACTATAAAGGAGGAATTACCATCTGGGAGGAGAACATTTCTAACAATGAACGTTTCAGCTTTTTCTGCTGGTTTCCATCACTTCAGAGTTTGTACGGGAAATTTGATTTGCAGGAGTGATTTAGAATAAAAGCTCATTCCACTAGAGAGGTGGTCTTAATGTTGCTCAGCTTGATATGCAAAACAGACGTGCTTCTTTTACACACACGAGGCTTAAAGCAGCTGCAGGATAGTGTAGTTACTTCTCAGTTTATTTATTAAAATGTCTAACTGCAAGAGGCAAAAACAACTAAATATGATATTCACATTTTTTTTGCAATTTATCACCACGTGCATGCAGGACAAAGTGTGAATGCTGTCTAATAAAACCAACGTCTTTTAGTTTATATATGGAATACATTTTGCCACCTCAAGTGGATCAAAACCAAAGGTTGTAGTTTATTTATTTGACGTAGTTTATTCTGAATTAGAATTGTAGTCCATTGACTGCTGGTTGGGTGTTTTGTAGACTCAGAGTACTCTGTGTTGTGAGAGTTTCAGAAGCATGCACAGAAGCAGTATTCCTGGTTGTATTCATCCCGCTCAGCAGACAGCTCTTTGGCCGTCTCTCAGACCACCCAAAATCCACTGGACTTACTAGATTTATGAAGAGATTTCAAAAGATGCCACTGACTTTGCCAGCCACAGCTCCCCATAAACGCCTGCATGTTTGCTGCTGCAGTGTGTCTGTTCTCTTCCAGCTGCTCCAGGCGCAGCTAAACGCTCTCTTATGCCCGCCTGCCAACCAAATCTCCTCCACTCTGCCAACATCCATGAGACTCAGCCGGCTCTTCAGCACAGAGCGCTCTCTCACTGGGCTCTCACCGCCTGCTGTCTGTCCGGCCCATTCATCTCTCCAGCCTTTGGGACTGCAGTTCACTGCTCTGTTGTGTGTCGTTTCAGTGTGTGTGGGATATTCCATCAGTCCGCGAGGGAGAAATGTTTGTTTTTATTACTCCAGGGACGTCAGGGTCCAGGTACAGACGACATCATAGAGGCAAAATGCTATCTGACAGAGATATTTAACTTAAAGCACTGCTTCTTGTGACTTAGTGGTTTCTGTCGTACCTTGAGTTTCACGTTACGCACTCTCACAGCACTGAAGGACAGGACACAAAGCCAAGAGATTGCAAACGTGTTCAGTGTTTGTTTCCTTGCGTGGTTTTAGTCACGTGACTCTCAGGTCTAATGTTGTGTATGTATTGCTCTCTAACCCTCTGCAGATGTTCTTGTGTTATTCTATTTAAGTGTTCTTTCTCTGTTGTCTGTTTTAAACATTATTGTTCACCCTGCCAGGTAAACTCCTCATTTGGAGTCATTTGATATTCTCTGTCGGTTTGTTTTACAGTGTTGAAACCTCCAAGTAGTTTTTAAACACTGAAAGACAACATATAACACATTTGAGTTGGTTAGATAAGACTGATGAATCTCAGAAAAAGATGAATAACTCAGAATAAAAGGAAAACCTCATTTGTGGGTGCAGTTTCTTTCACATCTTTATTTAGTATTTTGTAAACACCATCTTCCTTCTCCAGGCTGAAGAGGGCCGACCACCAGCTCCTATGGGACCATCGGCTCCACTGTCGGAAGGACCACCCCAGCAGCCTCCCTAAGGTGCTGGCCAGCGTGCCCAGCTGGGACTGGGCCAGCATGGCTCACATCCACTCCCTGCTGCACCACTGGCCCCCTCTGCCCCCCGTCACTGCGCTGGAGCTGCTCGAATCAAAGTATGCACTGTGCTGAAGACGTAAAGTTACGACAAGAAACTAGCTACACAACAGTGTCATTTTAATACCGATGCTTCTGGATGATCTACATAAATAAAGTACGGTTAGTACATTTTTTTTTTATTATTATTTATATTTGCTCTTTTTTTGTCTGTTTCCTGTTGTGTGTGTGTGTGTGTGTGTGTGTAGGTTTGCAGATACAGATGTAAGAAATCTGGCTGTTAGCTGGATTGAGAAGAGCAGTGACGATGAGCTGACTGACTACCTGCCACAGCTAGTTCAGGTACAGCTAAAATAATCCACGCACAAATACTACGTGCACTTTCAAAATACTCTGACACTCACCCACTCATGTCGCTATTCTCTTCCATCTCTGAACAGGCGTTAAAGTTTGAGTGTCACCTTAAGAACGGCCTCGTCATGCTCCTGCTGTCCAGAGCACAAGGCAACATCAACATTGCCCACTACCTCTACTGGTGAGTCCGCAGCAGCACTGAAGATGCAACCAGTCGTCTGAACTGCTTTCAAACACACTTTGGGAAATGTTGCAAAAAAAAAAAGAGTCTGATTGGAGCTGAAGTGAACAAACGGGCTTTAAATCAAGATGCACGGAGCACCTCGGCATTATTATTACAGCATTATTTATCAAACCCACCTCACCACGAGTGGCTTGTATGAACATAAACATACTGGTCACACAGTATGTTATTTTGCCATAGAAAGGGTCCTTTAAGTTACTTATCAAAACTAAGAAATGCCTTATTATTAATTAATTACTTTATACTTTTTTTAAAATAATGATCTCAGTACTGAGGCTCTTTGTATGGATGCAGTACTAGTAGGTTCATCTGTTGAGTCCAACTCCCGGCACCACAAGAGTTGCTGCTGAGTAAGAAATCAGCACGACTGCCAGGTAAATAAACAAAATTTATTTAACATGATTTTATAGTGTCAATAGAAAACTTTTTAACCCACCCACTTAGACAAGCTAGAGGTTAGTTTTCCTCAGAGTCTAGGAACAACACAGGGCTATGATGAAGGCATAAAACAGTGAAACACCCAGTGGTATTAGTAAGTAGTCATGTTTTATTACTTACTGACTTACAAGTAGAACAAATTTTATTCTATTTTTTTGTATAGCTCAAAATCACAAATTAGCCTGAGAGGGTTTTACAATCTGTACATCATTCATCCTCCTCTGTCGTTGGACCATCAAGACACAAAAAGAAAAACCTTTAACGGGGAAGAAGAAGAAGAAACCTCAGGGAGAGCAACAGAAGTGGGATCCTTCTCCCAGGATGGCCAGAAGTAAATAGAAGTCGTGTGTGCAGACTGAACAACATCATAGAATTACTCCACAGTCAATCCATTTGACATAGATGACACAACGCCAGCTGGATGTCTGTTTGGAACCCTCTCGCGTCCCAGAGCTCTCTTCATCTAGTGCTGCTACCGGGGGGGAAACAAAAGAGATATCCTCTCGTGTTTTGGTTGCGCAATGGTTGGCACACTTCCTTTGTGCCGTAAATCAAGCCTTCATTTTCCCGTGAGATCGAACCTGGTGACCGACAGAATAGCATCGTGAAAGCGAGGATTATAGGGAACCAATCTAAACACCAACGGTGTCCTTATTCTACAGCCTTTACATCTTGCATTGTGCAACATTTACTTCACAATGATATGTTAAAGCAAACAATGTGTCTACTGCCACTTTAAAGCTACTGTCCAGGATGAAGGTGTCCCTTACATTTCGGCTGCTGTTGTGTGTATGATGGCTGCAGGCTGCTGAAGGACGCTGTGCAGGATCCTGCCTGGGGACGACGCTACGAGCAGGTGCTGGGTGCTCTGCTGTGTCTGTGTGGAGTCAAGCTGAGGGCCGAGCTGGAGAAGCAGACTCACCTGGTCACCCTGCTGGGAGCTGTGGCCGAGAGGGTTCGACAGGCCGGGTCGTCTACGCGACAGGTTAGTGTGTGTGTGTGTGGGTGTGTGTGTGTGATCTGACTGTATTATTCTAAGTTATACAATTGAGTTAAAGGCAATTTGATTTTGGGGAAGTAAATACAAGTTAAAAACAGAGAGGAAACAGTTCGCTATATCTTGTATGTGTGTTGTAACATTTCTGTGTTTTGTATTTTGTGTGTGTTCAGGTGGCGCTGCAGGAGGGCCTTGAAAACGTTCAAAACTTTTTCCAGAGGAACAGCTGCCGGGTGCCTCTCAGCCCCAGTCTGGTGGCTAAGGAGCTAAACATTAAGGTAACACACACACACACACACACTGACAGGCTATGAATAATGACAAGCTGTCAAATTAGCTTAAAATAAATCAGGGGTCTCCACATTATTCAGCTATTAGCAGTAGTGAATTCATAACTATAACATTAAATAGAAGCAGGAGAATAAGAAAACTGCAGAAGAACACACGGCCAGGAAACATAAACAGCGACATACTCTTTATAGAACTACTGTGGTTCAGACCAGGAAATGAGCTCATTAAGCTACAGTTTCAACTAAATATAAAACACATGCATGCGTATATTCTCAAAACTCTGACGCAGATATTCATCACAGATCACTCTTAAGACAGAGGACGGTCACTACTTGTCACAAAAGTAATTGTGGTCGATAAAGGAGCTTCTGATCAGACCTTCCTCTGGTGATTCTATCTGGATATCATCTTGTGTTCCTCAGGCTTTATAGAGGCATTTATAGATGAATTATAGGTAGTTAAATGTAGACCCTAGTAAGACATGACTTCAATGTATCTATTATGTGGATATGATCCACAATTAGTCATTGGATGGCGACGTTTTTGGACAAGCACAATGCTGACATACGCTATGCGGCCTCTTGTTAGGAGAAACAAAACCACTGATTTGACATAATTTCAGTGGCTCAAAGACTCAAAGGCAACCATCAAGACAGACACGATTAGAGGCTGTTGCAAAGCTTCATCTTACAAACAGAACAACATAATGTAGTGCAGAAGAATAAAATCGTGTGTGTGTGTGTGTGTGTGTGTGTGTGTGTAGGCCTGCTCCTTCTTCAACTCCAACGCAGTTCCTCTCAAGCTGGCCCTGGTCAACGCAGACCCACTGGGAGAAGAGATCAATGTTATGTTCAAGGTACTGGACCCACACACACCGGTTTGAAATGTGTGTGTGGACACATTATGGTGTACACACACCTGAGAACTAGTTATTGTTTAACTTTCACACACCATGCACTAGTTTAAAGGGAGTTGTCATCTGCTACATCAAAACTTGTTTTAACCAACTGTTGTTTACATGCTTTTTATCTGAACGCTGCACCCCCTGGTGGCTGAAGAAGTGAAATCCAACCAGTGATAATAAAAGTGTTGGTGTGATTCGTCTCTCCGTTTGTCTGTTGGTGTGTCAGGTCGGAGAGGACCTGAGGCAGGACATGTTGGCCCTTCAGATGATCCGCATCATGGACCGCATCTGGCTGCAAGAGGGGCTGGACCTCCGCATCGTCAACTTCAAATGCATCTCCACCGGCAAGGACAAAGGTAGCACGAGCAGGGACCCCATTATACACCTGTTATTTCAAGTGTCCCATATCCAGTTTAAGAAACTTTCATTTACACTTAAACTAATGCAGTCTAACACAGCAGTCCTGCAATACACCCTGTTTAGACAGGTGTTAAATCAGCTTAATGATTTTGGAGGATGCGATTTGTGGTGTCGTTGACCTGTATTGCATTGAATAGGTGTTTCTGTTATTTAGTCTACCCGTGTTGATATAAATGGAGTACAAAATAAAAGAGTCGGTCTAATGCAATACAACTCGACAGCACCATAAACTCGTGATCATACAGTTAATTCATCACCTCTAAACAGTTTAAACAAAAACTGAACTTTATAACCTTCATAAATGTAGGATTTATTGCAGGACTGTTGGACTCAGTTAGATTTGGCTAAGTAGAACCTAATAGACCAGCAACTGAGTGTATATGCGTCTCTGTTGGTTGGATTCTGATCGTCCATGGCGGTACAATAATAAAAGGAGAATTAACGCAGAGCTGACTGATGTGTGCTCGCACTGTGTTTAATAAGAGTCGTGATGTCTTTGTCAAGGCATGGTGGAGCTGGTGCCGTCCTCCGACACCCTGAGAAAGATCCAGGTGGAGTACGGCGTCACCGGATCCTTCAAGGACAAGCCGCTGGCCGAGTGGCTCCGCAAGTACAACCCTGCCGAGGATGAGTATGAGAAGGTGAAAAACACATAAAGCATGCGTGTGAACGCTCACATTTACAGCCAAAAAGCTGTGAAACTGTTGTTTATTTGACACAAAGTATTGGTCTCTCCAATATTATGAATCTCAGTTACACCACTGAGCTGCTCTTTATGCCTTATGGTGTAAACTAGCGTGAGTGAAAATGGCTCAAATATTTAAACCATCATTTTGCTTTGACAGTTATTTGCCTCTGTAGGAGTTAAAAAACACACCGTTTATGTGCTCTTGAAGTTTATAGCAGTCATACAACTTCGTGACCTTTGACGGCTATAAATGTGAAATCTTACTCCACCCTCGTGACCTCTGACCCTGACAATCTACTGCACACAGTTTGACCCTGAACTTCAGCAGGACGCAGGAATAAACTCGTTTTCACATACATGCTTATATGGAGCTCTGACGTTTTTGAGGCTGGTGACATTCTGGAACAATTTTATAATTTTCGGATTTGCTTGAAACATCTGGAAAAGTAGGTAATACATGGTCAGAAGCTTCACAGTGTTCATATTTGTTCTTCCCGTCTGTCTTTGTGTCACTCTTTTTAGGCATCGGAGAACTTCATCTACTCGTGTGCGGGATGCTGCGTGGCAACCTACGTACTGGGCATCTGCGATCGCCATAATGACAACATCATGCTGCGCTCCACTGGCCACATGTTCCACATCGACTTCGGCAAGTTCCTGGGCCACGCCCAGATGTTTGGCAGCTTCAAAAGGTGAAAATCAGATATGCTCCTGAACGCGTGATTGTGTGTGTCAAGACGGTGCTTGTCAGATAAAACACGCCTTGGTGTGCAATCAGGGTTGAAAGGTCTTTCCATAAGTTATCAGATACTCTGTGTAAGGTCGTGCACCAGTTGTTAGGGAACACAAAATCATAGAGGACTCTATAAGGGCTCTTAAACCCGGAGCACAGCGCATCGCAACTCATTGCTAGTTTCAGATTGACACAGTTGTCATGTTGCCCACGGTTGGTCTTAAAATGAGGTGTGGTCAGGCGCGTTGTTGGCACATTGCTATCTTGAGGCAGCAGACAGCAGTTGCGCAATTGACCAACCAAAATCCGGTCTATAGTCGATGGCTTAGTATATGCAAATGCCCCTGGCTTTTTAATTTATGTTACGATCAAAACACTCCTGTGATTAATTAAGAGACTAAATAAAACCCCTTTGCCCCTTCCGCCTCACTTTGCGCCGTTTAGCAAAAGTGGACTCAGCACCGCCCTAAATGCACTTTAAACCATCCGCTCTAGACCGTTTAAATAGGGCCTCAGAGCTTTGTGTCCCAGTTGTAGTGTTATAAATTGTTGTCATTTGGTTACTTTCTAAGAAATTTCAGGTGTTGGATTCGCTGTGTTTCTACTCAATGAATGTGTATCTTCAAGCATGACGTGGTTCAAAGCTCACACACTGCACTCATTGCCAGCCGGTGGGCTGCCTCACAACTACGCTATTCTTAGCCTCTGAGCATCTCCACTGAAATATTTAGAGGCTTTGTAGTGACTTGCTTCAGTTTTTTTAATAACTTTTTGAGTAACCCTCGTAAGCTGACGACGTCTCTCTCCTTCCTTCCCACCAGGGACCGCGCTCCGTTCGTTCTGACCTCTGACATGGCGTACGTCATCAACGGAGGCGAGCGTCCCACCAGTCGCTTCCAGCTGTTTGTAGACTTGTGTTGCCAGGCCTACAACCTCATCCGCAAGCACTCCGGGCTTTTCCTCAACCTGTTGTCACTGGTGAGATGGAACACACACACACACACACACACACACACACACATATCTATGCACACATAGATACATAAACATTAACACTTATAATTTACACACACATGCAGCACAGTCTGTCACATAGGTGTATGCATCAAGTGGACATTTTGTCATGGTTTTTACTTTGGCTGCAATAATGATTCTTTTCATGAGAGACTAATCTATAGATTATTATTTTAATTGTTTGGTCTATAAAGTGTCAGAAAAAAGCGACAAATATTCATCACAATTTCCTGGAGTCGATGGTGACATCTTCAGATGTCTTGTTTTGTTTCAGATTATATAAAATAGAGAAAAGCAGCAAATCTTCACATTAAAGAAGCTATAACCAGGGACAATGAGGCATTTGTTCTTTATTTATCTAAATTACTAATATGATTAATCGATGAACAAAATAGCAGCTGATTGATTTTATGTCAATCAACTAATTAATGATAAGCTGAACATTGCAGCTCTAGATTCTTGTTCTTACCTCTTGCAGCTGACTTCTTTTCTTACAGCATTTTTCTACCTTGGGCTTCTTTTTCTTCGTCAGTCTTTAAAGTAGTTTTGGCCTCCTCTTTAAAGTGTCCTCACCCTTTTCTTTTGCACCTGCAGGAGCCACAATAACCAGATATGAGAACAAGGAGAATTTTGCCTTCAGAATAAATTAGTGCTTCACTGTTGTCCAATTATAGAATATGCTCTACTAAGGAATAATAATGCATATTCTTTAATATAGATGCACACTGTTATATATTGTTGCATGTACTGTATGTATAGGCTTTATGTAATTATGTTACTGTACAAAATGATGGGTAATAATTGGGTAAATCTCTGTGTTGTAGATGACGTCCTCAGGCCTCCCAGAGCTGACCGGCTCTCAGGATCTAAAGTACGTGTTTGACGCCCTGCAGCCCCACAACACGGATGCTGAGGCAACGATCTTCTTCACCAGGTAAATTATGGCTCGACGATCTGACCACAAAATGCATTGACTTCTATTCTCCCAGTGCTGATTCACTCTAAAAAAAAAACAAACATAAATTGGCCGGTTGGCAGAGTTTTAAATGTAATTTCCCAAACTCTTGGACAACCTCAAAGTTGTACACATCTCAAGAAAGAGAGGAATCAATCACTCTTCTTTGTTTTTGTTCCTCTCTTCTGAAGTATTCACATTTGCACAGCTGCTATTTTGGCCAGAGCTGTTATTTTAAGAAGAGTTGAGTTCAAGGACAATTCCCTTATTTTCTTTTTCTTTTTTTTGGTTGCTACAAACTGAAAGTCCAGCAGGTGGCAGTATAAGCATAGGAAGGGAAACAACAGTTGCTGTCTCACATTACAGCAACAAAACCCCTGACACATGAGAAACAGTATCATGTGGACCTTGTCCTTTTAAAACCAGTTGGGTTTCTTGAAGGAAAATTGTGCTTTGTGGAAACTTTGTGACGGCTTTAGGTCGCAGAGAAAACAACCTATTGATAAATGTTTCACCCGACTGGTTTCCTCCATATTTCTTTCTTTTCACCGCCCTCCTCTCCAGGCTGATAGAGTCCAGTCTGGGCAGCGTTGCCACCAAGTTCAACTTCTTCATCCACAACCTCGCCCAGCTACGATTCTCTGGTTTGCCGGCCAACGACGAGCCCATCCTGTCTTTCTCCCCCAAGACGTACACTCTGAAACAGGAGGGCCGCATCGTCCACGCCTCCATCTTCTCCTTCCAGAAGAGATACAACCCCGACAAGCACTATGTGAGTTCCGCTGCGTCGTGTCCATGTTCCATCACATCTCTGGATGTAAACTGTAAAAAGCGCTGACACCTGATCCCACGGCTGTCTCCCTGCCTGTCCTCTCTGTGCAGACGTATGTGGTGAGGCTCCTGAGGGAAGGTCAGAACGAGCCCCAGTTTGTCTTCCGCACTTTCGATGAGTTCCAGGAGCTCCACAACAAACTCACCATCCTCTTCCCGCTCTGGAAGCTGCCGAGGTAAGGCGTCACCTCCGCCGCGACCCTCGCTCTCAATTACTGATCTGATGGCCGTAAAGTGGTAGTTCGGATGTTTTGAAGTAGGGTTGCATGAGGTACTCATTCATAGTAAGTGTGTTACCTACGGTAAAGGTCGGCATGCCCCCAGTTTGGAGAAACGGAGAACCAGCACAGGAGTAAAGCAATATACTGCTGTGGAAGAGGGCAGCAGCAAAATGTGTTTTAGCTGGCTAAAAAAAGGACCATTTAAAAAAAGTCAATATCAGTTTAAGTGTGCGGTATATTCAGAATATTTTCACCACTTTACCTTGGCATCAGACGGCCTTTTCTGACGGAGAACTAAAGCTGTTTCATCCATCTGTGCTCTCTTCAAAGCCACAAGACTCCTTTAATACAAACAGTCATTTGTTTTAGTTGCTGGTCTATCGCTGCCTCGATCGATTAGTTTGTTTGCGTTATTGTGTGACTTTAGTTACACAATAGTTAGCAATAACAGTTAGTTAGCAATAACAAAGAAACTAACTAACCGATTGAGGCAGTTTTACTCTGAGGTAAAATCACTGTTTTTTTCAGTGGAGTCCTGTGGCTTTGAAGGGGGCAGAGATGGCTAAAACGGCTGTCTGACTGCAAGGTAAAGCGGTGAAAACATTCTAAATATAGCGTAAACTTACAGTAATATTGGTCTTTTCTTAGGTGGCTAAAATATGTTTTGCTGCTCCCCCTTCTACAGCAGTACATTACTTTACTAATTGTGATACAGTACTTTTTTATTGACACATCAGCATTCAAAACAGTGTAACTATCAAGATACTTGGCATGTTTTGGAAAGAGAGAATCTCACCTTCTGGATTAATATCCCTCTTTAACAAGCCCACTATGGCCCACTTAACGTTCCCTCTTTATCCCTGATGGCTATGCAGATGCTACCTCACTGCTGGAGCTTTGACGAACATCTGGTTATGTGGAATATTCTCCCCTCTCTCCTTATCTCTAGTTTCACCAACAAGATGGTGCTCGGTCGCACCCACATCAAAGAAGTGGCAGCCAAGAGGAAGCTGGAGCTCAACAACTACGTCCACAACCTGATGAGGAGCTCCACTGAGGTCGCCCAGGTACACATACGCATGCAAACGCTCAGTAATCAGTGCACTCAGCTCTGACGATGTTGGTATTGAGTACCAGTCAATGAAGCAATCTGATGATCTCTGTCTCTAGTGTGACCTGGTCTACACCTTCTTTCATCCGATTGCACGGGATGACAAGACAGAAGGTTTAGATGCCACGCCCAAAGCACTAGGTAAATAAAACCCATCCACACGCTGGTTATAACTGAATTTGGCTAGTAGGTTGCTAATCATTTTAGTTATTTATTGGGTGAGAGACTAAGAGAAAAGGCTATGTTGTTACCTTGATTTAGAAATGTGTGTGTTCTTGTGGTAACAACGAGTGATGAGTGGTATCTGACTGTTGCAGAGCCTCCACTGAGTCCCACTTCTGGTCGGGTGGAAGGAGAAGTGAAGCTCTCAATCTCCTACAGGAACAGCAACCTCTTCATCATGGTCATGCACATCAGGGATCTGGTAAACGGCGATGACTGAATACGTAACTTGAGATGCTGCTTTGACAGACGTGCTGTTTCTTTTCGATTGTCTTTCTGCTGTCATATTATAAATCCATCTCTCCAGGTTTCTGAAGAAGGAACGGATCCCAATCCATATGTGAAAACCTACCTGCTTCCAGATCCACACAAGACTTCCAAACGCAAGACAAAGATCTCGAGGAAAACCAGGAACCCTACTTTCAATGAGATGGTATGGAAGTATTAAAAGTGGTTCATTCATGGCCAGTGTGAACCCAAATAAGAACTTCACAGTCACTTTTTCCTGCTCTTCCTCCACAGTTGGTGTACAGCGGCTACAGCAAGGAAACCCTGGGCCTGCGGGAGCTTCAACTGAGCGTGCTCAGTGCCGAGTCGCTGCGTGAGAACTACTTTCTGGGCGGCATCACGCTCCGACTCAAAGACTTTGACCTCAGCAAGGAGACGGTCAAGTGGTACAAACTCACGGCCGTCCCCTACTTCTAACCCCAACCCTGCCTCTCTCCCGAAGCCGGGAACGACTCTGCGTGTCCAGACAAAAGCTGCATTCTGATCATATGGGAAAGGCAGCGGATGCGGCCTTACTTGAAAATACCGGTCACTGCATTTTTCAGTTCGTACAAGTACCATTTCAGAACTTCATTTATTGGTTTATTTCAAACTTGGAGGCCTGGAGATGAATTGAGGATTTCTGACATGACAGAAGTATAAGCAGCGAGTTCTTTTTCATTGAAAATGTAATAAACCAAACGGACAGTTTCCTTCACATGAATGATGTTGTTATCAATATTCTGAAGACATGGAAGGTTACAGCTGCGCTTGTTGCTGAGAAACATGCATCAATAACTACATTTGTGTTGAGATCACTAGCAGAATTTCAGAAAGCTATTGTTACGGCTTCAAACCAGGCTGAACACCACCCAGTCACTGCTTATGATAAGGACCATGTGGCTTCAGTGGTTATTCCCATATGACGTGAATGCAGACTTAAAAACTCCTTCAGACGCACCCTGACAGAGCGACCGAACAGACCGATTCACAAACCCTCAAAGCGGAGCCTGCTCTCCGTTCGTCTCTATTTTTCTCTCTCCCTCTTCAACTAATCAAGATTGTTTCTGTGACAAACAATCTTCACTTATTTTGTCTCTCTCTCTTTTCTCTCTTTTCTCTAAACTATAACGAAGAGCTGTAATGTTTTGTACATTTTGATATTAGAGGACCAAAACGGCTTGCTATGAGAAGAGTATATATAGATTGACATGTTTATTTTTTAAGGAATAGAAAGGGGGTTCATTTTTACATTTTCCTTGTTTATTTTCTATTTAGACAAATGGGAGGCATCAGTGTTTCCTGCTCCTCAGCAGACACTTCTGGGTAGAGTAGTCCAACACAACAGATTCCAGGACATCAACAGTGACCTTATGATTCCCCGAGAATGTGCCAAAAGTAACGAGAAGGCCGGCAAATCTAACCACTCTCCCACGTCGGGAGCTGAACTGGGTGCCTTTGTTTGTGCTC